GCAAACTGACCTGCCGGTGGAGGACAGCTTGCGGCTAGCCCAGGAAGGCAGCTTCTCTAGCTGTGATACCTGGCAAAGCCCTTCTCAGGAGAAGAGAAACCGTTTGTTTCTGACTTGCCAAACAGGGATACGATCGAACACCCTTGCAGTTCTTGAGACATTTGGAATGCCTGTTTTATGAATTTATGTTCCCAGCTCTGACAGACCCCTCCCTTCCCCTCCTTCTCAAAATCCAGTCTCCCCATCTCAGAGTGCACCATAATCTCCATGGTAACAGGTGTTACCATCGTACATCTGATTTTTTTTTCTTCCCTCTTTTTTTCTCCCCCTGCCCCCACAAGCAAGGTAGAGAGGGAATGGGGCAGATGTGACAGAGATGAGGTAAGAGCCAGTTAAACCCTCTAAGGGCCTGTGCTTTTCATCCAAGCCCTGAGCTTCTCTGAATACACTAACTGCTTAGTGATAGCCAGGGAGAAGAGTGACCAGCTTCTGTCATACCGAAAAATCCTTAAGGATGGTTTCTCCTCTAATGTGCCCTCCTCAGAAGAGAGGTTAAATGTGTTACTGATGTTGGGAAGTAACGTAGCTGTATTGTTTTGCTCTGACTTACTTTGTTTGCATTACGATGGTCAAGATGAAGGTTCTGGGTACTAGCGATTGGAGGGCGTACAGTTAAGTGGTTTCTGCCTCAGACTTTTCAAGGTAAATTGTCAAACAGGTGAGGTGTGGGGTGGGCAGTAGAGCTACAGTGAATAACAGCCCCAGTTTGTTATGCTAGCTGACGGGTCCCACCCTAATCAATTCCAATTGTTACTTCAGGCCACCTCAGCAGTGCAGTAGTGGTTGATCTGTATTTACATCTACATTTATCCTGTTGTTCCGCCACATCCTCATTCCCTTCCTTGCTTCCTGGTCCAGAAGCCTCCTCTTTTCTGGGGAGTCTGTAAGAAGGGTTTTGTGATGGATGCATGGAGCCCACCAGAAAATCTAATGAAAACATATCTTTCACCTGGGACTTACTCCATTGAAAATCTAGATTTGAAGTCTGTGTTACCTGTAGTTATTACAGGTTTAAATCCTAGGTAAATTTCTGCAGAAATTCTGTTAATTATTTGGACTTGTACATGCAGTCTTCAGTCCTACCCTTCTGAAACAGTGATGGAATGTACTCTGTGGCCCAGTCCACTGAAGCAGCTTGTCCCTGTGTATTCCTGGTAGCCAAACCGGCAAGTTTTATTGCCCCTCTTTCCTCTTCCCATACTTTTGTTTTTATGATCTACATCTACATGTGTCATATTTTCTGGCTAAACGGGGTGTTGTCAGTGTACCCAGTTCTTGTTGTTGAATGGCAGGATGCAGGAAAGCATTGTGCTGTACAAAAGACATTAGCTTCTTGGAGTAGAAGGAGGGTATCTGCGTAGGTATAATCTGTTCCACTTCATCGTTGTTGCTGTTCAAGCTCATATGCTTCAGAAACCAAGCTACTGCAGACCCGAAAGCCAAGCTTGCCGTTGGTCCTTCGTGTACACAGGGTTTTCATTCCTCGGATTCATGCAGCATTTGGGAAGCACTGGCTTGCAGCCATGCTAACTACCTGCAGTCTTAGCAGCTCTTCAGCTTCTTACCTTTCTGCGGGTAAAATGGATGGTGGTGTTAGGGTACCTAAAGTGAGGGGTTTGTTACTTGTGTACTGGTGTTAATCTCATAATTTGATTTTCCTTTGTGCGCTGTTGATATGGAGGTTGGTCAAACTCTGAAACATTTTCAGGAGACTGTTTAAATGTTTAAAATGGGAAAGAATTGTGTTTGGTGGTTTGTTTTTTTTTTTGCATAGTTTGGTTTGCTTAATAGGAACAATAAACTTTTGATGCTGAAAGCCCATGTACTTGCCAGTTTCCTGTTCCGCCCTAGTGGATTAAGGAGAGGTGAAGGCCAGAAGAGTCCCAGTTGTCCTGCTTTCTAATTACTATACCTCTTGTCCCCATCACTTTGTTAAATTAGGTTGAGTAGAAGGACTATGCAGCCCACTGAGCGACATGCAGATTCTTCTGGGGCAGAATTTCTGCAGCTCCACAGCTGTGTGCCAGTCAGTCTGTTAAACACTTAGGGGCACATGTATGTGCATTTCTAGCAGTTGCTTGCGCTTGCTGCTGGTTTAGTGGTTTATTGCAACATCCTGTAAAGTGACATGCCTCCTTGACCAGCTGCGCTGCTGCAGGGAGACAGAACATTTGTTTGAGCCTCCTTGGCTCTCCTGCCTTGTATTGTCCTGTCAAGTAATCTCCTGTTATTGTTTCAGAGAGTTTTCAACGTTCTGTACCCAATGCCTGCCGATCAGAGAAGACATGTCAGCATAAACTCTGCTCGATGGCTGCCTGAGCCAGGCCTGGGATTGGCGTATGGCACCAACAAAGGGGACCTGGTGATTTGCCGACCAGAGTAAGTGATTGCTTTACATGGGGTTGTATGTGCTTTGGCCATTCTGTTCTTAGGGTGGTGGGGTAAGATGGCTCTTCACTGCCTGGGGCGTTATGCTTGAGGTACTCAAAAAAACCAGCTCGTAATACTCCTTTTGGACTGCCACAGTGTTTACCCAAGTCTCTTACAATCAGTGTTTGTTTTGCTGATTATGAAGTTGTGAGGCTGTTTGAAGTGCATCTCATTAGCTCGTTTTACTTCCCATGTCTTTCTAGGCTTTCTGGATCCTTTGTTTCATGTATGTCTAGTGCAGTGTCTTTCAGTCGCTCTGGATTTATGGGCTTCTAAAAGCTTCCAATGAGAACAGCAAATTTGAGCTGTTAGTGATACGCTTGCTTTCCTCTGCTGTCATGTATCCCTTGGAGTCCACCAGCCAGCTTCAAAGCTGCTGACCTAGACTTATCAAATACTTGTTACAGTGTTCAAGCATGAGATTCTATGAACTGCAAAGGTTTTTGTCATGATTATGAGCAAGCCAGTAAATTGTTTTGGTCCTCACTTGAAAACTCAATGCTGTGATGTGTAGACTTTAGCTCTTTATTTGTACAGTGCCATGAAGGTTGTAACTGTTCCTTTTTAAACTTGCAATTAAACATAAGCTAATTTAGATATTGTGTGACACAGATGATGACTGAGTGTCTGAGCAGTGAAGCATGCATTGCTTTCAGTGTTCTTGGGGAGTCTCTTCACAATACTTTGAGACATTTTTCTCCATTGTGTTGTGCAAGCGCTTCTTTTGGAGCAGTATTTCCTTTATGCTGCAGGAACACTTCAGGGATTTCTCTGCTTCAGTTATTTCCTGGTACTAAACTACCTTGGTATTCTTTTGGGTTATGTTTCACATGTTGAAGTTCCTTATAACTTAAAAGCTGGCAGCTAGAAACTTGCAGCACTGCTGGTGATCTTACCACATGCATGTGGACTCCATCTGTTATGCATGAGATCAGGCATGTGGTGCTTGAGGGGAGTCATATAGTCAGTGAAGAACCACTATCTTAAATCAGAATAAATATATACAATTGTAATAGTGACTAATTCAGTACAGCCTTCTTGTAAAATCTGTGCTTGGAATTCAGGTTGGACCAATTTCAGTAGTACAGAATGCCAGAGCTCTTCAAACAGCCCTCTTGTTCTTTTGAACATAATCTTTCATCAAGGCCTTATTTATACATGAAGTTCTGCAAGGTATTATTACGGAATAAGCTATAATCACTCTCTTCCAGGATAAGTGGCTCTCTTCAAGAGTAGTTGATGTACTTTCTAAGCAGAAGAATTATTCAGGAATAATGGCTCTCTTCTTCTCGAACTCTGGAGAGTTATTCTAAGTTATTTTCAGTATAGAGAAGTGATAAGATCTGGTCTGCTGATGATGGCTCATGAGATGAACTTGGATGAGAACCCAGGGATATGAAATCTCCCCGAGGGTGGGTGCTTTGGTTGAATGCTGCAGAGTCGAGCTTGCTCTGGCTGTCCTGGCTTGCCACACCCCATATTAGGTATCCATTCTGCTGCTTGCAGTAGCCCGAAGCTAAGTGGCATGTCTTTTCTTGGCACCTCACTAATTAAAGATGCAGCAGAAACACTTTCATAGTATGTTACGGAAGCACTGTCAGTTCTTCTGCAGCGTCTCTGTGAAACTTCCTTAGCTTGCCATGTTGCTAGGGCACTCTTCTATCTCCTTACTTCTACCCCAGCAACAATCACGCACAATTCCAACAAAAATAAAGTTTTTCCCTATGAACATGAAACAAGGTGGCTGTAGAGGTGGGAGATTTATCAGTAGTTTGACAGAAATGCTTCATCAGGTTTTCTGCTGATGGATTGGAGTGACTGATGCTTCTGGTGATTATTGCAGGCCTCGCATGGACTGGTGGGTTCTTTTTGGAGCAGGACACCTGGTGTGTTCTGTTCTCAGCTGTAACATTGTATAGACCAACAACAGCTGGAGTGACTTAAAAACCTCTGCATGAAGGTGTAGATAGTCACTGAGCTGAATAATTTGCACTGAGGCTCTGACATCAGAACACACAAATGAGTGAGGCTCTATCAGAGCAGAAGTAGCTTGCGGCTGTGATATCTGCCCCAGATCTACTTGGAAGATTCTCAGAGAAAGGAAAAATCCTGACATGTAGATGCCATCTCAGTAGTTCTTGGCTTAATAGACTTGGTTTGAGGTTGGGATATCTGTTGACTTTAACAGAAGTGAGGGAGAAAGATGAAAAGTATGTGTGTAGTTTCCATACACAGTAATACAGAGGAAGAGAAATATTAAATAAAGGATTCAGCAATTGATAGAGTACTGTATGGGGGATAGTCTAGCAAACAGCAGGGATCAAGAAAACACTGTACTGCTGAAAACACCCCCACTCTTGTAATTTGGCAAAGAAAACTGTGGTCAGTAGCAAACAGCTGAGACGGTTAGAATTCCCTGGGTCTTTATTCGCATGTACTATGGAGGCATTTGAAACCAAGTACTACAGGGATCACATAAACAGGTTGGAATAGCAGCTGTGTCTCAAATAAAGGATTTGAAAAGCATGTGCTTAGGAAAAATGAGACGAGTAGACTGGAAGTACAATCTGACCAAGAAAAAAGTTGTAACTTGAAGCTCTGTGGGCTCATAATGAGAGGCTATGCAAATAGTCCTTCCAGAGTTCTAAAGACACCGTAATTAAAACCAAATGTTTTGGGCTATATTGCTAAGTTGAGGTAGCACTGATGGCACTCTTTCTTGCAAATGCAGGTGGGGAAGGTCAGGTGGTTGTGGCAACTGTTTTGGTTTGGCCTGGATAAATGCCAGGTGCCCACCAAAACCGCTCTATCATTCCCCCTCCTCAACTGGACAGGGGAGAGGAAATATGAAGAAAGGCTCGAGACCAGGACAGGGAGAGATCACTCACCAATTACTGTCACAGACAAAACGGACTGAACTTGGGGAGAAAAGGGAGTTTATTTTATCACCAATCAAATCAGAGTAGGATAGTGAGAAATAAAACCAGATCTTTAAACACCTGCCCCCCACCCCTCCTTTCTCCCCAGGCTCAACTTCACTCCCATTTCTCTACCTCCTCCCCCTGAGCGGCGCAGGGGGACACGGAATGGGGGTTACAGTCAGTTCATCACATGTTATCTCTGCCAATCCTACCTCCTCATGGGGAGGACTCCTCACACTCTTCCCCTGCTCCAGCGTGAGGTCCCTCTCACGGGAGACAGTTCTCCACAGACATCTCCAATGTGAGTCCTTCCCATGGGCTGCAGCTCTTCATGAACTGCCCCAGCATGGGTCCTCCCTACGGAGTGCAGTCCTTCAGGAACAGGCTGCCCCCGCGAGGGTCCCCAGAGCGGCACCACACATACCACGTGGGCTTCTCTCTCCACGGGTGCACAAGTCCTGGCAGGAGCCTGCTCCAGCGTGGGCTCCCCATGGGGTCACAGGCTCCTTAGGCATCCATCTGCTCCAGTGTGGGGTCTCTTCCACGGGCTACAGGTAGATATCTGCTCCACCGTGGACCTCCATGGGCTTCAGGGGGACAACTTGCCCTCACCATGATCTTCATCAGAGCTGCAAGGGAAGATTCTCTGCTGCAGCATCTTGAGCACCTCCTCCCCCCTCCTTCTTCACTGACCTTGGTGTCTGCAGAGTTGTTCCTTTCACATCGTTTCACTCCTCTCACTTGACTGCCATCTCATTGCAGTTTTTTTTTCTTCCCCTTCTTAAATATGGTATTGCAGAGGCGTTACCACCATCGCTGATTGGCTTGGTCTTGGCCAGCGGCAGGTCCGCCTTAGAGCTGGCTGGCACTGGCTTTATCAGACATGGGAGAAGCTGCTCGCAGCTTCTCACAGAAGCCGCCTTTATATCCTCCCCACTACCAAAAGCTCGCCATGCAAACCCATAACAGCAACCCATAATGTGAACTCAGTACACAGATTTAAGGGGTGTTTTGAAGGAAAGGATAATTGAAACCATGGAAAGCAAGACTGAATACGTTGTGATTTTACTAATGTGGAGTATAGCAGGTTGGATACCTGTCCTTGAGAATTTTATGTATTTTTTAATTAAAGGGTCAACTAAGGACTTGCTCCAGGTCTAAGACCTCTGTGTTTTAGTAAGGCAGTTCACATGTTGGAACTACAATAAATCTAGTTAATTTGTAAAGAATTAGGATTAGAATAGGATCTGGGAAAGAGCAGGTGAAGGCCTGGCTAAAGGAAAGAATACAACATGATTGAGAGCTGGACTCCTTCACAAAAGATGTCATTGATGGAATTCCTTAAGAACCTCTTCTGGGTCTGGTTATTAATACTGTTTACACTAGTGCCTTGTAGGGTGTGCTGAATACATTTTCAAAGGATGTGACATTAGCCTTGTCATTGCAGAGAAGGATCAGAATATTGCACAAGAATTGGATTGCCTTGAAAGTGACTGGAGGTACAGAAATGAGAACTTAATAGTACAAAGTGCACTTAGTGACTAGTAACACTGAACTCAGTAGTTAAAATGACAGAGGAGAAGAAACACCCGAGGTTTTAGCTGATCGTAGGTGATTAAGCCATCAATACATGAGGCTATAAAACCAACAAATTTAGTTCTAGGATGAGATGCAAGATGCTTAACAGAAGAGATAGCAAAATGTTAGTATCACTGTAGAAGAAACTAGACACATAAGGTGGAACAGTTTAAAATTCACATACCCATATTTAGCACTGGCTTTGAACCGGTACAGTAGTTGAGAAGAGCTGCTAGTGGGGACAGTGGAGCATTTTTACCTAAGAAAACCTGCAGCTGGGGTTCTTTAGCAGGGCTAAAAAGGAGGGCTAAGGAGAGGATTATGTAGCCTTCCATAAATCTCCAGGAAAGGGCAACTATGTAAATTTATGTACTTCTTATTCTAGAACAGAGAGGCATAAACTGCCAATGGCTAGGTTGTGGCTGTGAACTAGAGAAAGGTGGCTAACCA